CAGGAGGCTGATTTTCTCTCCTTCCCTCGCTGCCCACAATTGGGGAGCCATTACCATCAGGGGACGAGGGACAGGCTCCTGGCCAAGAACCTTTCACACAGATATGTATTTTTTTTTTCTTTCTTTCTTTACAGAAACTCTGGGTTCTCAGGATGCGGATGAGCCTGTCCATCAGGTTTCCCCACCCTGCGAGGTGTTTACCGGGAGCTTCCTGCAGGGATGGAACCGGCCCAAAAAACATCTCGAGGAGGCGGCGGTTCCGGCACCAGAAGGCGACGAGGCCGTTTTGAAACTGCTCTTTCAGAAAAAAAAGACAAAAGTGATCAGAACACGCTGGATTTAAGGTATTTTTATTTTAGTGTTCCATGAAAACAAAAGGCCTTTAAAGAACAAACAGGTACCCAGGCTAAAAGCAGACAGTATAAACACAGAAAATACATTCAGATCCTTCAATAACAAAACAATACATTTGATTCTTAAGGCCCTTAAAGTCAAGGTGAGGCACATAAAATGCCACTCCCCTTAGCCAAAGAAAGGCTTTCACTAGTATTGCCAATAAAAGAGTGAGGTACAAGGTTTGTGCGATGCTTTCACAGCCCTGGAAGCAGGAGCACGGCTGGTGCAGGACCGTGACCCCACAGCAGCGCCTGTGCTGCCCTGGCACGAGGCTCAACACCGGAGAGAACAGCCCCAGGGGCAAAATATGGACCCAGCCCGGGGTCCACCTCAACGGACACGGCTGTAGCTGGCAAAAAAGGCTGCCAGGAGAGGATACTGCCAGTTTTAAGGCTTTATGTCTAACGAGACCGCTCGGAGCACAGATTACGATTTTGTTTCTGTGTATGTAGCTCCAAGATGCACGTTCCTGCCAACAGAATTCCCGAAATCCACACTCCAAAAGCATCGCACGCAGCAGCCAGCGACTCAGCAGTACCCAGATTGTTTTAAAATGAGGCCAGCAAAAAGCAAGAGCCCAGTCTTGCTTCCCGCCTGTCCAGTCACATCTACCAGTAACATCATTTTTGATTTTTGAACAGTTAACCCACCGTTCAAAGGCACAACTGGTTTTTCTGACTCTCTGACCCAGAACATCAGAAAGCTGGGGAATAATGTCCAGAAGACAAAGTTCATGAGTGAGGTACAGGCAACCACTTCTTTCCAGAGATCCACTGAGGCACAAGGAGGAAACAGATTAATCCTTCATCTTCCTCACTATTTCAAGGCACGAGAAGCAGCCGCAGTAAGGTCAACGAGTACCACTCAAAATTAAAACCACCAAGAGCTGAAGGTGCCGCTAAGACCTTCTGTGTTTCAAACCCTCCATTCACAGAAGAGGGTAGAGCAGAAAAGAAGATGAAGACATCTGCTCGAAAATAAAATTTAAAAAGTACCTGAACTCTTAGAAGAGACTCTTAATGCTTAAGGCTTGTTTCAGCTCCAGCTCCCCGTCAAGGACAGCTCTGTCAGAAAAGCTTCAGACTTTGGTAGCTGGTCAGTTTACAGTAATAAAAATGTCATTAACAGCATTTTTTGAATTTTCCAATAAATGTATACAGCTCTAGGCAAATATATTAAGCTACTCTTCACTACAAGAATACAGTATTTGAGAAGCCTCCAGTTTTCAGTGTTTTATGAAAATAGTAAGCAGACTACTAACAGGTCGATAGTCGATCCAGCTAGTCTAGTCCCTCAGTAAAGTGCTTTGCTGTAGAAAAACTGATTTAGAACCTCACCCCTTTCGAGCTAAACCAGGAGTGACCCAATAGACCCTCCCAGCTTCCGAAGGCAGGAGTGTTTGCTTTGGTCCTCTGCTACCATCTCTGTCCATATTTCAACTCTCTCCTAAGCCTTTTATGGACTCTCGCAGCCCTGATAAATCCCAGAGCTGCAAAGAGGCATCTGATTTTTTTTTTTTTTTTTAATCTTTGACAAGAGCTCCCCAGAAAAACAAAGTCCCATGTAGTTTTTCAGTGGAGGAAGCCTGTTTTGGTGGCTGCTCGACTGCGCTGTGCTCATTGCTCTCCGATGAGATGGAGAGGAGAATGTACCTGTCTCCATCGAGCTGCAAAGCACCCACGCGTGAAGGAAGCAGTCTGAGAGGTATCGATTGCCCAGCAAAACCAGCACTCCTTCTCAGCTACAAAAAAAATCTTGTTCCTATGGTAGATAAATGTACCATGACATTTCAGAGTTTCCTACACCAAAAAAACCCTGTAAACCTTCCCCTTGGAGAACTGCTTTGAAACAAGAAGTACCTGATGAGATGAACTAAGCTTTGCTGCTTCCTTTCCAACCTAAGGTTTAACTTGCATTCAACTTTTAGGGTATTAATTACTTCTAAAACACAGCCCACAACCTTGGTCTGAAGCACACATCTTTGGACTTCTCCAGTGTAGTTATTAATATTTTTTTTAAAAACAATAAAATCTTCCAAGCTCTACTGTACAAGATTTTATATTGCACTACAACTTCAGGAGTGGAAAGAAGGGTAATGGATCTATCAAAGCTGCTACAAAACAAAAAGCATGAAAAAAATCTTCATAAAGGATCATCAGTGCCTTGCTGGCAAGCAAAACACATCAAAAACCCTTCATCCTTCCTACCGCAATCAGCCTTTGGATTAGATGCCTGAACAAGTCTTCCCAAATAATGGAAAGAAACAAAAAAAATAAATATGATAAGTTGACTCCACTTCTGGACTCCATACACAAGACCTGACGTAACTACTAATCAAACGGAGAGTTGCTCAAGGCAGAAAGAGGAAAGAGGTCATTTTCTGTGGGCGGCACAACCAGTACCACCTACTCCACATCGTCTCCTTATTAATCAAACTCCCCTGGCGGGAATTCAGTTCTTTGTTCTACCAGCATCCCGAGAGCTTTTACATCTTTCCAGCTTTTTTGTTTCCGGACGTTGAAACACGAAGAATGTTTGGGGTTTCTTCCATGACTCTGACAAGCAGGTTATCGATGTAGTCTTCAAGCTCACGCACCTGGAGATCTTTCTTGTTAATAGTATCCTTCTGTTTCAAGACCAGCTGGATCAGCTCATCGTGTGTTAGCTGAGCATAAGCATAGGCAGGATCCGAAGGATCATATTTCTGCGAGAGAGAAGAAAGGCAGGGTTGTTACAGACACGCAGGCATTTCAAAATAGCAACAGAATAGTATCTGGGAGCTGGCTGGTGGGATTTAGAGCACCAGTGAACAACTTTAGACACGGCGTTCGCAGAACCACAGCCGCTCGTCAAAAGTACGACTGTGCTTTGTGTCTTTTTAAAAATAAGCTCCATCCAAACGCCATTTCAGAACACCAGTCACTGGCATCTTGGGATCAAGAGCAGCAGGCGATGCGATGGCCAAGGCACTGACAACGGCAGAGCCAGCCCGGGCACACAACGGGCTGCCCTGACCACATCAGGCAGAATTTCTGCTGTGGTGTCAGAGCCACAGCACCACCAAGCCACAACACTAATTACAAGCTTTCAGTTCACTTAAAATAGCAACATGTCGGTCTGAATCACTTAACTCGCATCTTCCGTCTTTTCCGCTCACGCCAGGAGGAGGCACTGCTGCTATTCTAACTTCTCATTTTCCCCAAAAACTGCTCCCAGACAATAACAGTACCCAGGGTTTTTTCTGCTGACCCGGAGACCCTTCTAGCCATTCTGATGGCTTTTAAGCTACACCTCAAGCTTGGAGGTCTCTTTTGAAGCCAAGATTATGCCAAAAGCTCCTTTAAATGGGGTGATCATGCAAGCTGTGCAGCTATGCTTTCAGGAAGCGGCCGTGCTTTAACGGCAGGCTCAGGCTCTCTCCAACTGCACGGGAGATTAACGCAACACATCACAAGGCAACGGCCCCCCGAGGTTACCTTTCTCACCTTCTCGGCTTTAAGAGCCACATACACAATAAACAGTGACTGATCTTTCTGATCTTCTGTGCAGATCCAAGTTACCCAGCTCCCACACGTCACCAGACGGGACTATCTTCAGGTGTGGCACTGCCCGTGAGTCACCCGTCGTTCCTGTCACCTTCCCACTCCCCTCTGGGCAGTCAGACCCCTCCCCAAACCAAAGCCACCAATTCTATTATAGATCGGCTTGCAAGAAAAAGACACTTAAAGACTGTCCCCACCTTTGGGAACTGACAAAAAGAAAATTTGTGCCCCCCATGGTCTAATAAGCACTGTTCTTTTTCTGCTCAGGATATACAAGATGGGAGTCTAGTCTAAACTGTCTTGAATGCATGAACTCTGCTCAATTTACTGCTTAAGCTTTGGTTTAAAGTGTCGCTTTCCTCCATACCTTCACGTTCATCTCCAGCAGCTTTTCGTTCATAGTGCTGATGACATTCAGGTTTTTACTTTGAGTCTTGTTTGCTGTGGCATTCATTGGCTTCACAGGGTGGGGTCTGCAACATCACAAAAGGTTTATGTTGTAGAGGCACTACATGTAACACCAGCAACGCACATCTTCAGACTAAAAACACAAATAGCAAGAAATCGGGAAAAATTCCTGCCCTTCTCTGTCTGCAGAGAGACAAGAGATCCTGCTTGGGGAAGACAAGGTACTTCTGTCTCAGCTGTAGCTTTTTACGAGTACACTCCAGCTCTCTTAAGGCACTGGAGAGAAAGAAGCAGCAACAAGGGAAATCCATCCCGAACGGTATGTCGGTCTACACGAGAAGGCAGAGATCTGCGCTGACAGGAAGGAAAAGCAAGGCTCACGTCAGCCCCGAGACCCTTTCTGTGCGTTTCCCACATTCTCTCACCTGTGCTTAGGAGACACGGTTTCACCGCTCTGCTGAGTTTGGTTAGGATACGGTTCAGAGGGTGAAACCCATGCCTGAAGAAGCTTCTTCTTGCCACAATTTCCTGCTTTATCTGCGAAGCCCTCGGCTGTTGGCTTTTTCGGAGACTCTGCTCTACGACTTGGGGCGTCAGAGGGGAGAGAACGAGAGGAAGAGTAGGGCTGGGAAGGACTCGGCAGGGAGGAAGAGGAAAGAGAAGGCTCAAAGAAGTCATGCTCTGCACGCTCCTCAACACCTGCGCTTATTTTCAGTTCTTGTTTCTCAAAATGACTGTTACACTCCTGGGAATGAGACATCACACCTAAGCCTGGGTCAGCTGCCTGCTCATTGGCACTGGGAACATCAGCTGCGGGCAGCGCGGGCAGGCTGCTGGGCTGAGGAGCACCTCCTGGGGCTGGGCTCGCCGGGGCTGCAGCAGGGCTACCAGAGCACTCTGTCGGTTCTTCACACAAAGGCACTAAACTTAGGGACTGCTTTCCAGTCTCTGAAACGTTTTTATCACCCGCAGTGACACCAGGGTTCTCCTGACAGTCACCCAGCAGCTCGTCATCGGAGCCTCCCTCCGGAATCACGGGAAGACCGGCCAGTGTCAAGCCCCGCTCTGAAGAAGGCACATCACCGCTTAGCTCATCAGCCCGAGAAACTGGTGGGCACTTTTTCAGCGTTAGAGACAGCCGTGGCGCTGGCTTTGGAGTGACCGACACCTTACTGATCTGCTTCTCCTTCAGCTCACCCTTGGGGGAAGGTGGCTGTTCAGCGCTGATCTCTGTCAAGATGCTGTTATCACCCTTGGAGAGGGACACAGAGCCTTTGCTGTCCCTTGTGCGGGGCTCAGTATCCACACCGCCTCCCCCCACACCACCCCCAACAGTGGTCTCGCCGCGTGGGATGGGACCTGTGCTGTCACTAGAGGGTTCTGACGATGGGTAGCACCCTGCTTCCCATTCACCAGCAATCCCCACTCGCTCTCCTCTCACATCTGAGCTGAAATCCGCGTGCTGCTGTTCACGTTCCTGCCCACCCGCATCCCCATCCCCTGACGCAACGCCCTCCGGTCCACCCAGGAGAAAGGACACTGCTTTGGTGTTGCCGAGCTGACTTCTTTTCAAAGAATTCTCAGCCTGCAGCTGGGGAGAAGCACCCCGCTGCTTTGGAGCCAGAGCAGGGCTGTCGGCGAGGGCGCCAAGCGGGCTGGACTCAGCTCCGACATTGCTGGTTAAAGCCGCATCCGAAGAGCTCCCTGCAGCACCACGACCCGAGCGTGTCGGCCCAGCAGGGCATTCTGCCGAGGAACAACCTTCATCACCAGAAACGCAGGAAGAGGAAGAACCAGCAACAGCTCTGCAACCCAGCACATCTGCTTCCCACCCAAGCCTGGATGCAAAGGGATTATTGTCACTGAAACGACAGTCAGAGGGGAGAGAAGGCGCGGGTGGGCGAGAGAGGCCGTGGGAAGCCCACGTTTCAGAGCTTTCGGGACTGTGGCCCCGTGAGCTCTGCCCCCATTCAGAAGCAAAAGGATTGTTACCAGAGACCTGCCCAGGAACGGAGGCTGCAGGATGATGGGATGAGGAGAAACGGGCAGCGCCTTCAGGATCTGGGGCTGCAGATGCCCTGTCCTGCTCGGAAATAAAGGGGTTCTTGCCATTCAACAGCTCTGCAGCAAAAGGAGCAGGAGAAGGAACAGATGCAGGAGAACTAGCAATGCTTTCAGAGTCTGGTGCTTGGACCTTTTGTCCCGTTTTAGAAACAAAAGGATTATTGTCACTACTGATGCGGTGTGCAGAAAGAAAAGCAGGAAGGGAATCAGGTGCGAGAGTAGGAAGCGTGGCTTTGGTCTCCTCCTCTGAAGACACGCCCAGTCTGCAAAAAGGGACAAAAAACTCGCATGTCACTTGCGGATGCAACACGAGGCAGGAACAGACAAGCTTTAGCACCAGACTCCACCAACTCCTAACACCGGAGATGAACTGTACTTGCAAGAGACCTCGGAGCCTATCTGAGAGACTTCACACACTTACAGAGCACTTGGTTTACACCAGAACGCTTCTGCTGCAGAGTCTGCACAGGTTACTGCGTGGCTGCGTTTAAGCACTACCTCCTCTTTTGCATCCCAAGCGATTTTATTAGTATGTGAGACCCTTCACACGCAAGATGTTTAAACATGAGAAGCAGGGAAAACAAGGAGTTAGGCAGAAAACACAGCCTTATTAGTAGGACACACCCCTATATATAAAAGCACACATGCAGAGTTGTTTTACATAAATATATCTGAAGGATAAAGGAGCAGAATTTTCGAAAATGCCTTGCGTACAAATTCACGCAAATGTCCTTCGCATTGCTGCGAACAAAGCCAAAAGCAGAAGGGCTCCAAGATTAACACTCCTGAAGACCACAGCCAAATACAGAGGAGAAAAGTGCAGATGTTAGAAACGGATTTCAGCCCCTGGGTACATTCCAGTCGCACAGCTCAGACAGAAGTTAGTTTTTGCAAGAGATCTGGCAAGACAAAGTCACCCCTACAGAACCTGCAAAATGCTTGCGCTCACAAAACCACAATTTCGGCGTCACTTTATAAGGAACACTGCTGTATCAATCTCTTGTTTCATACCGAGAAAGAACTGGGAATTATTATTTGTTATTAAACACCCAATGGCCAGCTTAAAACCACCAGGTTCCCTGCAGAGCAGCGTGCTCCTGCCGTGCACAGGACGCCAAGGCGAGTAGCTGCTCTGCGGCAGGAAGCAGCCTGGTCACAGCCCTGCCACTGCCGCCCGTCACTAATTATGTCAACACCACTGACCTGGGCTTGACGGCTTTGGTCTTTGCCGGTGCAGCGGTGTTTTCGGGTTTCTGTTCTGCCTCGAAAGGGTTGAGCGACGGCTTCTTTGCAAAGACATCTTCTGCGTGGTGACTGTCTTCTGAAGGCTTCTCCCTGCCCAAATCTGCTGGGAGTTCAGGACGTTTGGTCTCTTGCTGGCTCTTCTCTTCTGGAACTTTGTTTTCCTCATCCTGCAGGGTCCTGTCGGGAATGCCCTCAGCATCCGTGGTCTTCACTGCTTCCTTCTTCCCTGTGACCAGAGAGAGCAAGGAAGACTTCTTGTGGTCTGTTTTTTTGGTCTCTTTAATAACCTCGATGGTTGGAGGGACGCTGGTTTCCGGGTATTCTTCACTGCTGAGCAGTTTGTACGACGGCAAAGTCATAGATTTAAAGGTCTCCAATGACGTAGACCCAGTGAAAGCATGACTAGGAGACGTTCTTCCAGACTCCTCAGGTCCTTTGGTAGGTCTGGAAGAGAGGTTCTCTTCTGAAGCAAAGAGATGCTTCCTCCTGAGGTTGTGAGGAGAGGGGGAGGAGGCTGGAGTGCCGTCCTTCGCTGTGCTCTCTTCCATATACACGTGACTGCCGTTGATGCACAGGCTGGACTTGGAAACGGGATCGGTTTTGGATTTAAGACCACTGAATAAAGAGAGCCCTTCTTTCTTGGGGTGGCTAGTGGTGACTTGGTTTAGTTGCCTGCTGTCCAAAGTTGCTGTTTTACGAGGTTTAAATACAGGAGGAGGAGAGGACTTCTCTTCCAAGGCATTTCCAAAGGCTTCTGGAAAAAATAAACAGGGAGAAATTAAAGATGTGAGAATATCCTTTCCTCTGACACTCACTACTGCCAACCGCAGTGCTTCACAGTCACTAAAGGATTGCAGCAGCACAGACATCACGAGCGTGACTCTACCAGCTGCTTCCTACAGCCCCACGGTTTTACCGGGGACAGAAGTGACTTTCTACAGATCCGTTCAGTAAGAGGAATTTAACTAGTTCAAGTGTGGAAAGTGCCAGCAAACCCTTAGAGAAAGGTTTTGTGCTTCCTCAGTGCCAATACTCACTTTCCGAGGTTGGAGAGGTCTCGGACTCCTCGTCATCCCATTGCGACTGGAAGTCGCTGGGATGAAGCCGAACCCTCGCAGCGATGGGCTGCTGCGTCGGCAGAACCGACATGGACTGGGAGAGGGAATTCTTCTGCAAGCCAGGTTTGGAAAACAGGGTTTTGAACTTTGATTTCTTCTTTTCCTTCTCGACTGACTCGTCTTCACTGTCAGCAGGGGAGTGAGTCGTGCTGGGAATGATCGCCGAGGACGTGTCGGAAAGGCCGCTGCTCCTCTTCCCCTTCAGCTTCTCTTTGAGCTTGCCAAAGGGAGAGCGGGACTTGTCTTTCATGGACAGATCAAACATACTGGCTGTCATGTTGCTCCTCATAAACTGGATATCCACTTCGATCTCCCCTCTCTCCTTCTCTTTTTTCCCTGGTTTGGAGCGAAGCTTGTACCACCTGCAGAAACAAGCGAGATTTCTTTTACAAACAAGATCTTGAGAGCCACAAAGCCTTTAATCCTACCACTGCATCATAAGTGTATGGCCCCAGGTACCGAGGGAAACATTTCTTATCATAAATAGAAAGTTATCAGTTGAATTTGTTATAAAACCCAGACCAGGAAGGGTTAAAAAAAGAAGAAAAAAAAACCCACAACATGGAATTCCTGTATTTCACCTCAGCCACTCTTTCTGTGCTTTTATCCAGCTTCCTGAAATTCGCAGAGGCCAGGACTTTGAAGTGGGTGCAAAGCAGCAGCCTCGGAGAGCTGAAACCGGTACCAGAAAGCTCGCTGCCCCACGCCCTCATACCTTTCATTCCAGCTCCTTTTCAGTCGCTATCTTAATGCCTCTCGAGCTCAGGAACCTCTAATCAACCCAAGGAGAGCCGAGCCCAGCCTCCAGCCCGTCTGGGGATTTCCACTCACCTCTGCAGCTCGTGACTGCAGCGACCGGGAAGGACGCTGGGTTGGGACAGAACCTTCGCCCGCTCTGAACTGCGGCTCCGGAATTTTAAGCACGGCACGTTGTGTGCTCAGGGTACCCTCAACTGCAAACCCACAGTCGGCGTGCCGCTATCGCTCGTGCTCCGGTACCACTCAGTGCCACCCAAACCACAGCAGGGCCAGCACAGACCACTGTCAGCACTGCACCCCCGTGCGCTTTGGTCTATCACTGGAGCAGCAGAATTCCCGATGCCGCGGAACCAAGAGGAAAGGCTGCCTGGAAAACGCCGGCTGCTTCCTCCTCAACAGCTGGTGCAGGAACATAAAGCAGCAAACAGAGCTTGCAAATCTGCCCCTCCATCCAATCTGCACCTCATTCCTTTGAAGGTGCAGTGGAAACAACGGAAGAGAATAGGAAAAGGCAAAGGCAATTTGCTCCAGAGAAAATGCAAAACTAATTAATGGAAAGAGATGAATTCAGAAATCTGCTACAGAGAAACACAGGTGCGAGCACCACGCTGCAGTTAGAGTTCAGACCTGCACTTACAAGACACCAGCCCCAGGAAGGGATTTTATACGAGGCTGGGCTTTGGCAGGTCCCCCAAGGTACAGCCCCACGGCCAGGGAAGCCCCGGTCCTCTGCCTTTAATGCCAGCCAGCACCGGGCGCTTTTGTTCTAAGCCACATGATTTCTAGGAGCATCCTGCGCTCGCACAGTTTCGGTGCCACAATTCATTCTGCACGCTCTCTGCCCCGGGGAATGAGCCGGCCCCGCTCGGACAGCATCCGGAACACAAAGGACATGTTCAGCGAAAGGCAGCTCAGCGCTGACCGGAGTGCGGCTGTCGCTTTGAGCAGCACGCCGCTACGCTCGCCTGCCTTTGATCAGTGGAGAGTAAACAACATACTGACAACCCCTCTCCAAAACAGAACACCTTATTAAATTCACCACACATTTATTTTCCAAATAAACCCAGCCCTTTATGGCTGCACATCTCCACGGCAGCTAAGCGACGACAAAAGAAACGGGCTTCAAAGAGGAAATCGAGGGCTGGGGGAATGCCACTAACCACTGGGAATGTCACAAGTTTTCCCAGTTATGTTTTCTTCCCCCCCCCATAGTTTTTCTTTGGCCCAGCCACGGAGCAGCCAGCACAGCAGGACCCGCGCCCCCGCCTCGCCGGGCTGACCCTGAACTCTGCTGACCCACAGCACATTCTGCTCTGCGGCGTCAACACACCAGCGCTCGACACAGCTCTAATGACGGCCAGGGTGTAATTAAGGCTTCGGAACGTAATTAAGGCTTCACAAGCCAAGAGACAAGAGGCCGCTCTCGGCTTCGGCCAGGCCAGCGTCAATACCCGGCTCTGCTCAGGTGAGGAAGGTGACTCACAGGAAAAAAAACAAGGCGGCTGACTCCCAGTACCACCCTGCCAGTCACCACCCTGGGATTCCAGCGCCGTCCCAGTGTTTACGTTCAAAGGACCGAATGTGACACAGCGCCGGCACCCGGCGTTCACGGAGGAGTCTCCCAGCGGGGTGTCCGCTGCCAGCAGCCTGTGTAACACCGAATTACCTGCTCTTACAGGCGCTTAGGCTCTGCTAAGTGTTCATTAAGAAAAATACAACAGCCGGCGGGCGCCGTCGGAAGGTGAGGGCATTCCGGACACGTCCAGTTTTTGGGGCCAGGCTGGCGGCTCCCTGTCAGCACTCACATGTAAATATCTAAAAACCAAACCCAAGCGCAAGGCAGGACTGAGGAA